GCTTCGGCGCGTACTTTTCATAGATTCCCCTCCATTGGCACATAGCCTTGTTGTCCATGTCCATTACTCTCTTACCGCCAGCCTATGCCCGGCCACAGCAATATGCTTTTCACTGAGTGGCTGCCTCTGTGTCGTTTCACATTCATCGCACGCATAACCACTGCAGTAGCGATTCAATATCATGCATCCCATCTCTGCAAGTACCCTGGCCTTGCATCTCCACTCGTCACAAGTGCTCAAGGCTTCTAACCGCCCACTTCCACCTCCGTGATGGTCTATACATACATACCAGAACCCCTTCGTTGGTTTCCATCTCCACCGTAATTCAATCTTCCAAGGTTGACCTCCAGCTGTAAAGAATACTGCATTCTTCATAGAGTTGCACCATGGAGTGGTCAACCCAATCCTCACCGCTTCAGGTGCAGCCTGTTGAGATGCTTCAGAAGGCACCAGACCTCTCCTTCCTCGGGCGACGGACAATAGCGCCCAGACCTTTGTCAGAGGCGACCGAGATATTTGACACTGACAACGAGGATGACCCCGACTCACTTCCCAGACCTTGGGATTCGCAGGATGACGACAGTGCGTCGACTCTGTCGTCGAGTCGGGACGAGCTCCCAACTCCTCCTCAGAGTGGTGGCCTTGACGGCTTCGAGTTCCATTTCGACGACCGAGCAGTATTGGGTCCTCGAGGGCCTCACTTGTTCAGTGGCACTCCTGACATCCTGACAAATCCCGACGACGACGTCTTCCTCAATATCTCCCCGGCTGCCGAGCCCAAGACTCCGGCCAAACCTATCAACGCCCTCAACACTGCAGTCGCAGAACTCGACGAATCCCAGGTTCGGCATTGGACTCCTCGACAGGTCGCTGATTGGATGGCCGAAGCAGGCTTCGAGCCAGCTGTCGTGGAGAAGTTCCTCATTCACGACATCTCCGGCAGTGTTCTGATAGACCTTCAGTTCGAGGATCTCAAAGAGCTCGACATCAGCTCCTTTGGAAAACGCCACAGAGTTATGAGCTCGATCCACCAACTCCGAAACAGCAGCATGATCACCCTGGAAGCACCACTCTCAAGAACTCCTTCCCGGAATACGAGAAGTCCTCGAGCCGTGCAGCGGGTCGCTCGTCCAGAAGAATGCCATGTGGTCGTTGATCGATCTCGGTCCCGGAGACGAGGCCGCCAACCCGACATCGTCACCCCTGCCGAGTCAGTCTCCATTGTTGGGATCGAGCAGGTCCTCCCCAAAGAGCACAAGTGCTCGAAAGGCGAAGATTGCCCAAAGTGGCAGAAGCAACAGCGGAGGATTCTTCGTATGCAGCGCGCATGGGAGGATGATGCCCGCCGGCCTGTGTCTGAGGCCCAATCCGAAGCCTTGCCGTCGGTCGTAGGCTCCTCAGACGTCCTTGGACCCTCTTCTGTAAAGATCACCGCCGAGACCCTCAGCGGTGTTCAGCCCCGAGATCCACAGGAGAGCGTTCGACAGTTCCTCAACTTCCAACACCTCAACAGTCCGACGCACTCAAGCAACCCCTCCCCACCTCCTGCAGCATCTGCTTCATTTGCCGTCAAGTCAGCCAACCTCGCCGAGCATCTCCGTGGGCTTCCCAAGCTCACCATACCCGTGGGACAAAGTCAAGATGAGATTCCCTCGAGGACACCAATCTCTGCCCTCCAACAACCTACTCAGATCCAGGCTCAACTCAAGGCGCAGCTTCTGCGGGATCCATATCACTATGGCGGGGTGGCCTCACCAGCTGACATCTACCGTATAGACACTCCCATGTCGGCCACTGATATTCCCATCACTGCAATGGCTGCCGACCCCTGTCAACGCGATGTCTCTCAATCTGTGCCTCCCGAGATGCGGTATGGTGCGACATCGATAACAATCAGCCCACCTGAACCCATTCAGCGTTGTGTATCTACTCAGCCTGCCCCGCCACGGCGGCACATTCGACAGCAGTCTTTCACGCCGTCTGTGGCACCTGTCAAGGAGAACGATACACAGGAACCGCGTGCCGCCGCACGAGTCACTGAAATTGAACTCGCCCACCATCAAGGCTGGATGCGGAAGCGGAAGACTACTCGCATGCTCCGACACGAATGGCAAGACAACTATTGCACACTGGTCGGCCATAAGCTGACGATGCACGACACTCACTACGCCAACGCCACTGCCCTGGAGGATATTGACGTGGATGAATACACCCTGCACGCCTACGCACAGGCTTCAGGATCGAAACTCAGCGCAGCCTTCAAGAAAAGTCTCCTCGGCCAAGGAAAGGTTCCCGCCGGCGAGCACAGCTTCGCCTTCTCTCTCATCCCCGACAGTGAGAAGGTAAACAGGAGGATCTTTGAAAAAGGCCAAAAGTCCCACCACTTTGCCGTCGACAGCTCCAAAGAGCGCATCGAGTGGATGAGGAAGCTGATGCTAGCCAAGGCCATGAGGAAGAACGACACCTGTCGGATCTGAAACCCGCGTCAGTTTATTCTACCCCCCCTTACTACCTTGCCTGTGAATATCGCCCTTCTCATGACTGAACGACTCTCCTACCAAGATGTTGCCTCGCGGCAATTCTCCTTTTTCTAGCTCATCTCGCACCATCAGTCCTCAGCTACTACTACTATTACTACTACAAACCTTGCATCAGCCACAGGAGAGAAACAGGAATCAGCATCATCAGCATCATCATCTCCACAAACATTCACCAGCCTTGTTCTGCATTTTAGCGACCGGAGCGTTTTGACGTTTTTTCACCACCTGATTGATGGACGGATTGGCGACATGATCAGATCAGACTACGGGGAATTCTTGTTGTTCCTCTCTTTCGGGCTTTGTCTGTATGCGTGTGTTGTCTGATCGTACTTTTTGGCGCTGCTGTTGAAACCGAGATACCCCCAACCCTTACTCCACAACATCGACTATACATCTACGACGACTTTGTCCTCTCTCCCTCCTCAAGAGTAGAGAATACACTCCACAAATCTCCTTTGTTGCCGCGATACCTCACTGCTATTTGAGCAGTCGTCCCAGACCTTCCTAAGGGAGGCTGGGCTCTTTGAGCCGTGGACAAGAGTCCTCGTGCATTTTTAACCCCCCTACTTTATATAGCTACTACTAGCCTAGTGAAACAACCCCAACAAAGAGGTGATGAACTCATTGCCTTCAATGAACGAAGAAGAAAAAAAAGGTAACAAGTACCCGTTTATGTTCCATTTTCTTTTCTGGTTCATCAAGTCTCTGCGCTTTCTTTAACTTCTACTGTGCCAGTGATGACATCAAGCCCTTTCTCCTATTGCTAACACTACGGATCTAATACAATATTGCCCTTCCTATAAGTCTCAAAGGGTACTAGCACAGTACGTATGCGTGAGGACAAGGGTATAGTGTCTTGGCGCGTGAATACTACGCTGAAGTAGGTACGGAAGTATTGAACTAGGTAGGGTGCATTGGAATCGCGTCTGCCTGTTATTATTATTGCTTCTACCCATTCGACCAGGACAGTCTAGGCTGGTTTGGAACCTCAGGATTTGAGTTATTGGTTTGTTTAGATTCGGCTCTGTGGAAAGAGGAGATATATAACCACGTACTCCCCACGAATAACGTACCACTACCATCACAACTACAGTACCGGTATCTTCAGGAGTCATATTTATTGGAAACACATACATCAACACCACCAAACCATGTCTAACGACCCCGACGAGAGTACGACGGATACGATTTTCTCGCTCTCGCTGAACCGCGATGCCGGTCCTACGATCATCTTCCTCCACGGCCTCTGCTCCAACCACACCGAGTACACGCATGTTCTCCCCCTTCTGGCCGACCACCACCTCCTCGCCGTCGACCTGCCGGGCCACTCGCAGTCATCGGCCATCCGGCCATTCAGCCTCGCCGGCGCGGCCGAACAGGTCGCGCGCGTGATCGAGCGGCGTGCGCACGACCGGCGCGCGCACGTCGTGGGGTGCTCGCTCGGCGGGTTCGTCGCGCTGGACCTCGCGCTGCGGCGTCCCGAGCTCGTCGAGTCGCTGTTCGTCACGGGCGCGGCCCCCTTCGCCGGCTTCAGGAGATGGTTCGCCGAGCATCCCCGCGTCCTGTACTGTCTGCAGGCGCCCCTCTCCAAGTACAGCCCCGGCTGGGTCGACGGGGCCATCTGCGCGTGGATCGGGCTGCAAAAGCCCGCCGGCCTGCGCGAGGAGGAGAGGAGGAATTTCGGCAGGAATCTCCTGACCGACGCGTTCACGGGCATCGCACAGTTCGTCGCGGAGGACCTGCGCGCGCTCCGTGTCAGGACCTTGACCGTCGCGGGCGAGGCGCAGGACGATGTGCCAGCGACTCGCGCCATGGCGGAGCTGTTGAGAGAAGGTTGCAGTGAGAGTCAGGCGGCTGTGGTCCGAGGGGGCGCGCATGCTTGGGATCTGCAGTTTCCGGAACTGTTCGCGAAGAGCGTCAAGGCTTGGATTGACGGGGACGATCTTCCAGATGGTCTGGTACTGGCACCGTGAGAATCATGTTGTTAGGTTCGGGAAGGTGAGTGACTTGGAGACCCGAGTACTACTCAAACAATACCGGTCAACTCGTATTTCCCTGCGGCAGTGACGGCGTCAAGAAGACAAGGCAAGGCAAGGCACGGCACGGCAGGGAAAATATATCATCGACCACGTTCAAAAACTCCGTCTGATAATCCCAGGATCCTGGTAAAAATGGTTGATTGATTCGAGGAAAAAACAACTTCTACGACCTTCCACCACCAAAGCCACACACACGACATCCACCACCGCGAACATGACAGCCTCACTTCTTCTTCTTCCATCCGAACCACCCACTCTGTTGAAAGATCAGTATTCAGGGCGCGATGCTGTCCATGTATTGCGATATGTTCCGGATAAATAAGAAAAAACGTGCTTTCGCAGCCCCCCATGAGAACCCATCCCCCACGCACTCCTTAAACCTATCTTGCCACTACTGGTATGTTGTCTCCAGTCAGTGGCTTCACAACATGAATGCCAAAGATCCAAGAACAACAGCAAACACCCCGGAGACGGCATAGCCGAGTCGATCAGCGGAGCCGGTGAACTTGGCGTTGTTGGCTCCCGCACCTGAGGCTCCGCCGGGGACGACAGGCGTGATGGGCGGGGAAATGTTGTTATCGTTGCTGGTGCCATTGGTGTACTTGTTTCCGCCGTTGGCTCCAGCTTCGGCACTGGCAGCTGCGTTTGCGCCAGCATTGGCGGCTGCGCCGGAGTCGCCGTTACTGGCTCCAGCGGCAGAGTTCCCACTGGAAGCAGAATTTGCACCGGCAGCACCGTTGCCAGAGGAAGCCCCAGCATTCGCGTTAGCATTTGCGTTCGCGTTGGCAGCGGCATTAGCATTGGCACCCCCGGAGCCAGCTCCCGAAGAGCCACTACTGCCAGAGCTTCCACTGGATGAGCCAGAGCCGGAACCGGAACCGGCCTCAGCTTGGGCATTGGCTCCTGCACTTGCTGCCGCTTGTGCTTGAGCACCGGCGCCTCCAGTAGGTCCAATCACAGGAGTCTGGGTGGCATAGGGACCGGTTGAGCATGGCGTGGTAAGAGTCATTGTGGTCGCTCCACCATTGTGGCAAACATCGCAAGACACAACAGTAGTGGTAAAGCCTTCAGGGATGGAAGTTGGGTTCCTGGTCGCTTCACAAGGGCATACCTCTGTGATGGTGTAAGTGGCTTGTCCAATTGATTGACCGTTGCTGCAGATTTGGTGGTAGATGGTAAGGTACTCGTGGATTTCCTCCACGTCCCCGTTCGGGAGGGTGGTTGTGTAAGAGAGGATTTCAGTGGTTTGGGCATTCGTTGGGGGAGGTGTGATCACGGGGCCACCACCGTTGCAATTGGGACCTGGGCAGAAAGTGATGGTGCTGGACAAAGTGGTAGTTGTGGTCAAAGCAGTTGGGCACACGGAATAGTAGACGGTGGTGGCAGCAGTGTCCGCGGGGTCGTTGATAACGGTGGTGGTTTGCGCGTTAACTGCAGCGATGAGCAGTGCCGCCAAGGGCATGTTGGTGCGAGTCGATCGTTTCATTTTTCCAAGTCCAGGCAGGGATGCAGTGGATGGGTTTTGTTGATTGTAGAGTTGGCGTACCACGATCAAGCGAAGAGATTTCAAAGGAGTGACTGTTAGAGCAACAAAAGAGACGTTTCCAAACGAGTGTAACGAGTCTCGAAAAGAGAACGAGGCTATCGAGGAGTGAAAGAGAGCAAGAGGAAACTTTGTACCATTGCGCATGATATTTACCTTGAGCACGATCACCGTGCGTGAAGGATAACGCGATCCACATAACACTGTCTCTGGAATGCAAAACAACCACTTCAAAAACAAATCATCTCATTTGCAGAGAAGGAGAGAATGTAGCGCACAAACCATGACATTTCTCGAGAATTGGGGTTTGGAATTGCCCATTCTTCCCGCCTGCAAATGATACGTGACGGTGGTTGCCACGGAACAGCGATAAATAGGGCTGGAACCATTCAAAGTCTGCAGACTGTGCAGTCTGGATTCGGTCACTTGTCAGCAGCCACTCTGCTAGGCCAGACCAGACATTGCATTAGACAGGGGCACATGGAAAAAGATGTTTCCTATCAATCGACATTTCAGACTCATCGCCCTCACCGAAGAGGACCCAACGAGAAGGAAACTTCCTACAAGGAATGAGAATTTGTTCTCCAGAGCCATCGAGCTTACAAAGAGCTCATGGCAACACATCGCTGTAGAAAAGGACGAAACGACGGTCGTGGCTGGCTCTGTTGCTTTTTTTGATCTGAAGAGAGAAAAAGGAAAAGATTAAAGGGTGAAGCTTGCGGTGAAGAATTTGTAGAGTGGTCCGTGCCAAGCCACAGTCACGTGAATTACAGCCTCGTGCTCCTTCCAGCCTTGGTCCCAGCCTGTTTGGTGGTAACAGCAACGATAGCAACGAGGCTTCGAACATCGTTGAAAGTGTCTAGGTTGTCTCATTTTACCGCTACTGTCCTTATTGCGGCTTCGCCTTCAATGGCACTTCAAACACTATCGCGCCATTCCGCCCTTCATGCATTTTCCTCCACCGCCCCAACCTCATCTCCTTGCCAGTTCCAGCCACAATGCACAGGCCTTGACTCTCGCCTTCCTTCTTGCCTCCAAATTCGTTGGTGATGACTTTTCTTCTCTCAAATACCGCCAGAGAATTAACGAAGCCACGCACTGGGCCTTTGGTTCCATAGCCAGACGAATCGGTCTCTCCATTCACAAGTCCTGTCCCGTGCTCTGACTCGCCATTGGTGACTGCGTTTTGTTTCTTCACAGTTTCCTCACTCTTTCCCACAGTTCCAAGAGGTAAAAGCGTCTTTTTATCATCGCTGAGTTTCCATGCGCGGATCCAGCCATCCCAACTCCCACTCAAAACCACATCAGTGCCAGGCAAAGCCGCTAAAGCAGTGATAGCCCGGGGGATTGGTCTCCGCCTATCGTCCTTTTTTAGAGCCTCAATAACCTTCGGGTCAACCTCGGAGACTACCTCCTCAAGCGGAGGCGGCTCTTCAACACCATGTGCAGTCTCAATGGTGAAAATCGCTTTCTTTTTGTGTATACTCCACAGACTAATGGTGCCTGCGTCAGATCCCGTCACAAAGTTCTGTGGCGGTAAGGCAGCCACGCAATCCAGACTGCCAGCCTGGTATTTGTCGTTTCTAGAACTGTCGCCCAGAAACTTTGTAAGGGATTCGTCCACAACCTTCCACCAGAGAGCTTTTCGATCTCGAGCGCCGACCGTCACACATTGATCCACAGACACGGCCGAGACATCAACAACATGGTCTTGGTGACCGAAGAGTGTCTCCACGTAGGCAAGACTGTCCTCGCCAGCCAAGCTGTAGGTTTTAAGAGACCGATCCATGCTAGCACTGAACAGTTGTTGACCAAAGCCGCTTGCACTAGCCGATTTTGGCGCAAATGCGAGTCCGGTAACTCCGTCTCTGTGTGTAGTGAATGTCTTCAGTGGCCGCAGGTCTTCTGCTGACCAGATGATAAGCTTCTTGTCCGCCCCTCCGGTCGCCACAAATCTCCCGTCTGGTGAGGCAGCGACAGACAGGATAGGCGAGGTATGTCCATGCTGTTGGGGAGCGGATGCCCTGATCTTGATGCCTCGCACAAATGCAAGTTGCTTGGGTCGACGTCGGCGTGAAGCCCCAGACTTTAGGCTATCTGAGGGAGTGCTCGGTGGTTGAAGTTGCCATTTTATCAACGTTTTGTCTTTGCTCACTGTGTACACGTAGGGTTGACAAGCTGCCACGCTAGTAGTGGTTTCGGTATTCGCACGAAATGCCGTGTGAGCGGCGTTCGCGAAATCCAAGTTTTGGGCTATCAGTCGATACTGTCTGCCCTTTGCTTCATCAACATCCTCTTTCAGCCGTTTCGCGATCAAGTCCTTGTCAAGGTCTTCTGCGTCAAACCCGGTTTCATCTATCTCTTGCCTGATATTGTCCAAGTATCGCTGTGCAAGTCTAACTCGTCGCTCAGCCGCAGTCTCGTCTTCTTCGGAAGTCGCCTCTGACTCCTCGACATCGCTTTCTGGTTGGACTTCGTCTTCGGATTCGCTCCCAGATATTGAATCGTCTCGTTGTCGATCTCGATCTTGGGGTCGTCTGCCTTGTCGACGGGGTAGGCCACCTGCTTGCTCTCGTGCTCCGTCGGCATTTTCAACTTCCCGCCTTTTCCTCGCTTTGCCTGAAGCGGGATATTCTCGCTTACGCTTCCTCTGTGACGCCGGAAGCGTAAAAAATGAGGACATCTGAGCGCCTTCGCAATTTGACTGTTGTCAGAGTAGACTAACAATCAATTGCGGCGAGATGAATTTCTCCAAAAACTTTTTTCGAGATGCGGGCAAATCTTCAGTCTCGTACCGCAGCCTTGTCGGAAAATTAATCACACTCGCCGCACCTTCCGGAGAGAGAAACACTAGCCCAGCCTTGTGCGTTCAAGGCAGAGCTTCGCGTGCGTGTTCGAGCAATTGAGCACTCGTCCACCCAATTTCAACTCACCACCATCTCCTCAAGAATAGCCTGCGAGTACCGATCATCTCTCTAGAGGATTCCAAAGTATTTGGGAAAGTGTCGATTTCAGAACCTTTGCCACTACATAAAACCAACCGCACCCCTTTGTACTTCATTCAAAATGTAAGGTTATGTTCCAACTGTTAAGGATCGAGCCCAAGAATCTAACAATACGTCTCTAGGGAGGTCCTCATCGGTCTCACTGGCCGGGACTTCACCATCATCGCCGCCTCCAAAGCTGCCATGCGCGGCGCCACTATCCTCAAGTCTAGCGATGACAAAACCCGACAACTCAACAAACACACCCTTCTGCCTTTTCTGGCGAAGCGGGCGATACTATACAATTCGCAGAGTTCATCCAAGCAAATGTCGCACTCTATTCAATGCGCAATGACACGGATCTGGGCCCTTCCGCAGTGGCCAGCTTTGTGAGAGGGGAGTTGGCGCGGAGTTTGAGGAGCAGGAAACCATATACGGTGAACTTGCTACTGGGGGGCGTTGATCCGATCACGAGGGAGCCGAGCCTGTACTGGTTGGACTACCTTGCGAGCAGCGTAAAGGTGCCATACGCGTGTCACGGATATGCCCAGTGAGTTATTCCGACAAAAGATTTCGGATTGTGTGGATAATCGTGGCATGGCTGATCGACTGACCCATCGTGATTCAGGTATTACTGCCTTTCAATTCTCGACAAACACCACCACCCAGACATCTCCTTCGACCAAGGCTTGAAGATTCTGCGCATGTGCACGGACGAGCTGCAGCGACGTCTCCCTATTGACTTCAAGGGCATGACGGTGAAGGTGGTCAAGAAAGACGGCATCGTGGATCTGGAGTATGACACTAGCAAACAGGTCCTGGCTGCTTAGACGTGGAAAAAGGAAGAATGAAAGGATCCCCCAATCGATCATACTTTATGCATAGCGTCGGCGTAGACACGGTTTGACTTTAGTGGCTCCAATGAAGAAAATTGGGTTCATTTCATTCAGAGTATTGTAGCACTTCTTACAGTAGAAATGTCTAGACTACTGGGGTGCACATCTCTCTCGCTCACACGCCTTCATCGTCTCCCTGTTTTCCCATAGCTGCTGAAGTGAAATGGCAGCCGCCCTGAATTTCTATCGTCCCACACAAAGCCCCTCCTCAATCCATTGATTCTTGCAAAACGCCATGCTAGAAATTGTTCAGACGAGCGATTCTGGCCGCTGGAAGTCAATCTCGCTCTCATCACGACTGATAGCCAGTCGTGCCTCCAACCAATATTCGACCAAGGCCTGATCTTGCAAAGGGTCGATGGTAACCATGCCGTCGACCCGACGTGCTGTCTTGAGATATACTGCTTCTCTGACGATGGCGGTACTGTTGTCTTGCAGGACTGCTCAGTCGTTGACTTCCTCCAATATGAGGTTGAAGGCTATGGTCATTTCGTCGCACGCGCTGACTCTGCAAATGCTGTCTGCGCTGAGCTGATGGCTGAGGTGGTCGCACATCTGAACCATCCGATTCGGAGCAATCCTGATCGACTTCGGTTTCCGAGTGCTCTGATGGATACCGTTCGTCACCCTCGTCTTCTCTATGTTGATCGTCAGATTCATGATTTCTGTGGTCCAGATCTCTGTTTTCAAAAGGATCGTCGTATGCTTCATCTCCGGCATCATCCTGTTCCTCTCCGCCTTCTTCGTCGTCATCGTCGTCATCGTCGTCGCTTACGATGACCCTCGCTGCTCTTGTCCTCCGCCAACTTGGTTGTGGTACTTCAGGCTCATGATCGGAACCCTCTGTCACTTCATCGTAATTTGTCTCTGCATCAGATATTTCCTCGACGTCATTTCGTGAGCGTTGAGCATAAGTCCCATGTCTACCGAAGTGTGCATGGTGATCACTATCTGCTGAGGTTTGGCTCGCATATTCTGACGGGTTGGCATGCAAACTTTCGTTCTCAGCCCATTGTCGATTGTACATGGTCATGGTGGACTCGCTATCAGTATTGTCATCAGCCTCGTCTGCTTCGTTGTCGATGAAATCATCCATGTCATCCTCCTCGGCATAGCTTTCATATTCATCTGTTGTGTACGACCGAGGGGATCTTTCGCCACTATAGTAGTGGAATCCAGCTTCGTTCATGGATCCGTCGAATGCGTGATCAATTTCGTCGAGCGAGTCATACTCCGAAGAAGTCAGGCGTGGGGAATTATAAGGAGACATGGTATCGGAATCCGAATCGTATGTTTCATGGAAGCCACACCGCATGCATTCGCCCTCTTCAAGTTCCCAGTGACATTGAGGACACCGGACGACATTGTCCTCTTGATCCAGAAGCCCACGAGCCAAGGTGAAGTATCTCTGTTCCTGGTTCCGGAACAAGCCTTGGAAAAGACCAGGTCCGGTGCGATCTGCAGCGAGCTGAGCTGCCTCTGCCTCCTTGGCTAGCTGGTGTTCCTGTAGGGTCTCATCTTCAGGAAGCAACTCGGCTCGAGCGATTAACACGTGGACAAGATCTCGGAGGAGATAATTGGGTGACGGTTCCACTGTGACCCTCGCCCTGCAGTCTGGACAGTTTTTCTTGGTCGTCTTCCTCGAGCCTTCGCAAAACCAGCTGGCAAGACACGAGTAACAGTAGGTGTGACCGCACGAGAGGATGAATGGCTCGTACAAGGATCGCATGCAGATCTTACACACGGAAAGATTGCGGATATCCTCGATATGCTTGAGATAGATCGGGGGAGGGGATATACCGGTGTCCGGCATCTCGGTCTGAGGCTCGGCCATCGGTATGAGATGAGTGTATGTTGAACCTTGAGCGACGGCACTCAACAAGTTTGGTGAAGGTGGGGAAACATAGGTTTGGGTGACGGGCGAGGAATAGGCAATAGATTTGGTGGACGTCAACGGTGAGCCTGCATGTAGAACTGGGTGTGAGTAGATGAAACCTGGCAAGAAAAGGCTGCCAGCGCGTCCTTCAAAAGGTGCACACGGTCAAAGTCGAGAGACTGGGCGCGCCGGCCACAACTTCAGCCTTTGGTGACTTTGATATCGAGGTCTTGGCATCCCCTCAAAGTGGAGAAGGTTTGCCGAGAGATTTTCCCCAACTTCGAACCTGCGCAGTCAAGGCAGTATTGTCGCCTGAAGTCTTGTTAGTTCTTTGGCCCACGATCCTGCGGCAACGATGAAACCGATTTCCTTCGGTTTGGGCAAACCAAAAGGTGCCGCACCGGCCCAATCTGCAGGAACGACATCCCGCAAAACCCACACTCCGTCGAGTAGTCGCCTCTCACGGACCGCACTCCGCCATGATTCGGACAACGAAGATGAAGAAGAGCCAAGACACGAGTCAGTCTCTGGCTTCTCGTCAAGTGGTGCTATTCTAAGTCAGCCCCTACAGGACTCACAAGAGAAAGTGATACCGAATGCCGGCAATGCCGACTGGCGCAGGCAAGGGCGGAAAAATCTACTCCCTGCAGAGGTTCAAGCGCAACAGCAGAACGGCAATGGAGTTGTTGTGGTGGAGCGAGACGAGGTCAGCAAGGCTAGCGGGCTACAATTTGCGGAAAAGGATGAGGAGGAAAGAGAACATCAGACAAACGGTAGTCAACAATCACAAGAGGAACAGCCCGCTACACAACCGAAGCAGCTGACGGCGGACGAGGAAGCTTTGCAGGCGCTGTTAGACGATGGATCTGGCAAGCCAAGGTCGAATGCTGTCATAACAATACAGGGAAACAGACAGCTATCACCCCAAGACGAAACGCAAGATTTCAGGGAAGATGTCGCTTCTAGGCCAGATTCTAGCACCCTCGAGGAGTATGCCGCCATGCCTGTAGAAGAGTTTGGAATGGCTATGCTGAGAGGGATGGGCCAAAAACGGCGCGCCAACGGAGAGATCATCGATCTTGCCCCAAAGAACGACGACAATCCACGAAAACTCCGCAAGCAAGAGGGCTTTCTAGGAATTGGGGCGAAGGCCGCTCCAGGATCGGATATCGAGTTGGGTGCATGGGGAAAGGCCGACATGCGGAAGAATACAAAAGGACAGGGATTTTTCACGCCACTCATGCGCGAGAATAAAGCCACGGGGGAACGTATCTCGGAGGACGAGTTCCAGAAACGACTCAAAGAGTCGTCGAATGCCAAACAAGAGGAAGAGTGGAAGCAGCGCAGAGATCGTAACCTTGAGATCAGTGGTCGGGATCGGCATCGAGACAAAGACTCACAAAAGAATGGAGACAGAGACTATCGAGAACAGATGAATTCTTTCTCCCGTTCCAGCTCTTCGAGAGGCGACCGTGATGGACGTGAAGATTCCCGTTCGAGGCGCGACACAGATGACAGAGACTACGAACGCTCACGATCGAGACGTGATGATGACAGATACGACTCTAGTTCGTCCCATCGAAGTCATAGGGACCGGGACCGGGACCGAGACCGAGATCGAGATCGAGACAGGGACAGAGAAAAAAACAGAGACCGTGACAGAGATAGGCACAGAGATAGAGACAGAGACAGCGACCGTCGCCACCGGGACAGATAATGTGGGGTTAGTCGGGAAAGAAAACCGTGAAGTCTTTGGTCAGATGGAAAGTCTGCATGCATAGCCATAGGATATATTTAATGCCCCTGATGAACTTTTCCTCCTATGACATTATTGCACAACTAGAAAAGCCGAAGCATTCTCATCATACCATGATGATATCCCCATCCATTCTCTGATGCTGCGCCTCATGCCCGTTAGTGAGCAGTGACCCATTCAGATCCCCGGTGGTAGAGACGCCCGCAACCTCATCCATCTCCCGCAGCGTATACTCAATCAGGTAACTCTCGTCGACCAGGTCGTCCATCCTCTTGTAGTGCCTCTCGGTGTAGACCTCGAGCGCGCGCAGAAGGTCCTGCATGTCCCCGCCTCCTTTGCGTCTCTGCCTCGTCTCTGGTTGGTCGCCGGCCACGGCGCCGCCCAATTTCTTCTTCCTCGCCCGCGCCATGTCGACAAACACGTCCTTCGGATACGACCGCAGCAGGCAGTTGAGGATCCTCTGGGCCACGGGCGCCGTGCGGGCGTTGGTGTTCCAGTCCCGCACATGCTCGAGTAATTGCCAGAGTTGGGTCCGGTCCAGGGAGGCGAGGACGTCGTCGACGGCTTTCGAACCTGTGATGCTGTTACTACTGTCGTCAACGTGCTCGTCATTATCCGAGGTCCTTGACTTGCCGCGGGATTCGGAGGAATTGACCACGTCCTCGAAAACGCGCAGGAGTCGGCCGGGGTGGCCCAGCGCCAGGGACAGGGTGATGGCTTCGCGGTAGTTTTTGCTGAAGATGTGGTTCTGCAGGAGCTGGTCTTGCTCGATCCGCTCGGTCGCGCGTTGAGAGGCCAGTAGGGTCGTTTGGAGGGTCGTGTCGCGCCAGAACGTCAAGGTCGCGTCGCCAGCACCCGATATCAGTGCGTAGGGATAGGGCTGGGGTTGGGACTTGGTGCGGCGTTTTTTGCTCGAAGACGACGAAGGAGGTGGTATCCGCGGATACGAGTTTGGAGTCACCAGCGCCCACACACGATCGGTGTGGTTGTCAAGAGTTGTTAGGAGATGATCAGAGTCAGCGGTCGAGTATGGCGACCAGATTTTGACGAGTGTGTCTGAGGATGCGGATGCTATTAATGGTTGACTGTTGGGTTGGGCCTGCGAGGGACGGTCGTCTTCTTCCATATCCTCGTCCTTAGAGTTGGAATCGATGGGCGGAAGCCAAACAACCTTCAACACCGAGTTGCTGTGGCCCTCGAACGTTTGAAGACAGGTGTAGGTCGAAAGTGACCATACTTTGACTGTCCGGTCACCTGAGCCACTGACAAGCAGGCCACGAGCGCCACTTGAACCACCATCTGGCAGAGAAAGCGGAGGCGTCCCTGCGGGAGAGAAGCGGACAGACCAGACACCTCGCTTGTGGCCGCGCAGGATGGCCGTCACAGAGCCGTCTTCCAGTGACCACACCTTGATAGTACGGTCTTGAGAAGCTGAAGCAAATAGCGGCGCGATGGGAGATACGTCCATTGCATTGATATCCTTTTCGTGCGCGACCCGAGTGAACAAGGCTTTGATGCCAGTGTGTGGTTCTGTTGCTGATCCGTCATACTTGAGTTTTGCAGTGTTCCATTTTTTGATTGTCTTGTCTTGTGAGCCCGTCAGAAGGAATGCCGGGGTGTGTGTTGAAGGACTCCTTAGGGACGGTCCGTCCGTCGGTGGACTTCTGGGCAATGCGATGGCTCCTAAGGACTCTGCATGTCCAGCAAAAACAGCAAAGCATTCGTATGACAATGAGGTCGGGTCTAGTCTCCACAGCCTTGCAGTGTTATCCTTCGCACCAGTTGCGACCCAGTGGCCTGACCAATCGACATCCAAGCAGATGATTATGTCTTCGTGGCCCTCGAGCAACGCAACGTCGTTTCCGAAAGTCTCAACGCCTTCTGGGGCGTTTGAATTCGTTGATTGTCCATTGTCTTGGATCGAAATCAATCTAAGACTCTCCGTATTGGTAGCAAGTGCTAGTAGAGTCCTGTCAGGACCGACGCAGGCCATGTCAATAACTTCATCGTAGTTTCCAGAAATCGTCCGAATCACAGGTAAACTCCCTAGTGTCTCTGACGTCTGGAGGTTGCGCAGGGCAGAAATACTCTGTAACTTCATCGTTTGATCCTGGTGGACAGATAGTATCGTATCATCCTCGATCATCGGGATGATCGCTGTGATAGCATCATTCTCGAGTCCAGGTTTCGGCTTGGAAGTGAGTTCACGGCCAGTGGTGATATTCCAGATCCTGACAGCGCCGTATTCTCCTCCAGCATAGCAAAACCGGCCATCCAGGAGAAACCCCGCCGTTTCCAACACTTCCAGAGCTGGAATGACTCGTTGCTGTTTCCACGTTCGAGAGTCCCAGAGAATTATTGTCCGATCGCGGCTTGCGGAGAGGAGGAGTTGTTGCTCTTTGGAGTATTTCAGGCTCCGCACAACACTGACATGAGAGTCAAGGGTCGCGCTGGATTTTCGGGTAGATAGATTCCATATGCGGATTTTCCCATCTTCGCCTCCAGATGCAAGATAGATGGTCCGAGCTGGGGTTGGATTATCTACCTCCATTTGGGCTTCGCCACGACTCTTCCGCTTGCGGCTTGTATGTGAATCTGAGGAACTGGTTGATTGTGATTGGAAGAAGTGAAGGGCAGAGACGACACCGCCGTGGCCATGGAAGGTATGTGAGACGTAACCACCCCTGAGATCCCATACTTTCACTGTGCCCTCGGCACCTCCCGTCGCCAGAAGTGATCCTGTGGCATCAATAGCCGATGACACAACTGGAGTGGTATGTGGCTTCAACGTGCGTGTGAGCTCTGCGGCGATCGATTTAGATCCTTCTAGAGGCTTGAGCGAAAAGATTCGTAGTGAAAGCGACCGTGAAGCTATGACCAAATGGGATAAATCTGGAGCCAGACACAGACTCGTCACAGCTTCTCCATCTCCTTCGATGCGGCAGAGCACCTTGCCGGTCTGGATATTGACGATAAGGGCGTCTTCATCGACACAAGTTGCGATGTAAGAGCCGCTTGCATCGTGCGAAACATCACCACCGGTGAATATTGGCTCGATGGTTTTGGCGGCTTCAAAGGTTGTTTTGTGGTGGATTTTGGTAGCCATTGTCGCCCAACGTTTTCATCCTTGAAGTCATGCGATACTTCAGAAAGAACCAAGGTATTTGTATTGGAGGTATAATAGCCACATCATTATCTGAGAACGTCAAGGCTGAGCCGGTTGAGATGCTTTTTTTGAAATTTCGCAAGAAAAAGTTCAGAAATCGACCTCCAGCCAATTACATGCGATGCCGGTTTAAAGGTTTGCACTAGCGGTGGATGCCACAGCCTCGTCTTCTCAGCCTCGTCGCCACAATCTCAGCCTCGTCCTGACTCCGGCCAAACAGCTTTACGTTGAGACTTTAGGCAAGTGATTTCCACGCGACAGCCATTGCGATGGTGGATTCTACGAAAGCGCCAGCGTGTCAGTTATGTCGGAACTGGCACCAGCGCATTGAAACACCGCCTTGACTTGGCCGGGGGTTACAAATGATCAGGTCATGGGTCGGAGTCTGATCCGTTTCATATCCTGCAGTTCGAAGCTCAGACGTCAAATCGCTGCAGACAGTGGAAGCCCCTCTAAGCACCGACGATATGATTATGCGGGCTCCCCCAGGAAGGGTCTATAACGATAGCGACGCGTGCGGTAATGCTAATAAACCCAAGTGGTCATTCAGTTAGCCTCCCACATACAAACTGGACGTTGGACATGCTGGAGCAGGGATGGGAGGGTTGGTGATGTTTCCAACTCCTTCGCCTACGATCTTAGCCCAAATTGTTTACAATAAGGTCTTCTCCTTCAATCCAGGTACAAACAGGACGAGGAGATGCTCTGTGACTTTGTTATGCTCAGATGCGGTTGTGTTAAGAAAATGGAAGACACTTCGGACCTGCGGACCCGCATCACTCGAGAACATGAGGACATGGCTAGTTCATTCCGGGTTACTCGTACTCTCCTTCCAACCTGTCAACAATTACACGGCGCTACCATTCTCGAGCATGGTACATTGGGTTTTCTGCCTCGAAAGCAATGGATCTTGACCATCTCTGTTGAGCACATACCTTGCGTCACACCCTCTCACCGTCCTGATCGATGTCGATAGGCCGAGACTGAGCTCATGGTGATACTCCGGGGGCATAACGACCGCGACGGATTGATTTCCTTATAGCAGAGGAGTGCCTTGTCAAAGGTCAGCCGCTATGCGCAGTCGAGGGCCAATGTCAACCCAGACAAATTGACGACTGTGATAGCTTCTGCAGCGCGGATGCTCGGGGTTGGAGGACTGGACGCCAGCGTGAGCATGGTGAACATGGATCTCATCGAAACACTGTGCGGATGGCTGTGCCAAAATTCCTTCAACTCGTATACCCTCATTTGTCGCAAGGTTGAACAAAGCATTTCCGCACTGTACACATACACGGCGCAAAACTGTACTAATGACAGCGACTTGAGCTCAGACGTCAGTCTAAGGGGCGCAGGAACCCATCAACTGCAACCCCCCCCTGGGAAACAATATGACGCTGAACCGCAGCCAGATATGAAGAAAATGTACATAATCAAAGCGCAGTTTTTGAGATAGCATCTCTGGTCGGGAGTGGGATGATGGGCATTCGGATCCGATGGTCCGCACAGTCTAACGGTCATCATGTTCGAGGAGCTTAGCACCTGTACTTGGGCCTAGGGCAGGTGGCGCCAGGGAGAATGTGGATAGGCCTTAAATGCTTTCCATTTCGCCCCCGAAAAGTTCTTAACCTACCTAAACTTATGCTTAAGCACCTTGTGTTCTACTTACCAGTGTCTTCATGAAAGCACACAGCGACGCTCCGTCAAGACCCTTTTCATTATGGACGCCATTTCCACTCTCAGAACCTCTGACTCGAGTCTCGTTCATAGCAGGTTGGAACTGCCGCATCGTTTAAGCGGCTCCGGGGGCATAACAAGGTTTAGCATCCTTGCACTGCCGGTTTTCGCCGCCGCGATTCCAAGATCCTCACAGACAAACCCATGCAAGGCACGGCTCCGGATCCGCATTTCCGATATAATATTATTTTGCCTCCCCCTTCACATGGACTCGTCTGTTCGAGGAATATACTGTTGTACGGGTTGTGGCTATGGTATGTGGGCTGTTCCCGAGTCGTATCCCCCCTTTCTGAGCCACCGAATTCTGCTTGTGAACCTCGATGGAGGAGGCGTCCCACCAACATGCGCCAAAAAGGCAGAGGAGACAATACCGGAGTTGTGATAACTGTCGCAAGGGCCGGCGGGCTTGCGATGCGGTATCTTTGGGCATCAACCCTCTACAAACGAACAGCGCGGGCGCGGGGACCAGCTCTGCAGCGATAGCCTGCTCGACGTGTCGACGCGCGAACAAGGAATGCACATTCACTTGGCTCCAGGATCTTCCTCGGGGGACATTGCCTGAAAGTCTGAAGCAGAAATTCAGCAGGCGCTATGACCCTGCCTTACATACCAGAGGAGAGTCCTCACAAGGGCCTCGACACCCGTCACAGTCCAACTTCCCACCGGGTGCCAGTTTCAGCGAGACGGCCAGCATGAGAACAAACTGGACCATGAGCGGACCAGCTGTAGAAAACACAAACAGCCCGTGGCAAGCACCGCATCGCGAGCAGGCGGTTCACAGGAACATTGAGCAGCAAGCAGCAACTACTCTGTGCGCGACTGGGGCAGATAGCTCCATTGACACCTTAGGTGCCAGTACCAACTGGCTGGAAAATATCGCATGGTCAGCTTCACCCTTTCCCCACGACCAAGGACAAGAGTTCCGGCAGTCCGGCGCAGCGTACGTGGGAGCCCAAGTAGCGTCCTTCGACGACAGTGGCCAGTCCTCGTCATTCGAGAGCTGGAATTCACCCATGTATGGCTCGCTCGCTGGGTTTTCCCAGTTCAATAACGAAGGCTTTAACGAAATCAACCCAGGTTTACCCTATCCTCCAGACCAGACAGGGACATTTCCTCTTACTCTAGACTCGGGCGATTTGTCTCTACTCACCGATACAGGACTGAGGAATATTCCACCGTATACATCACAGGGAGCGGACGATATCACATTCAATATGCGCGAGTTTGACCTTACGCAGTCTTTCAGCAAAGGTTTGATTTCTGACAGACTGCTAAGCATATACCATGACAGTTTTGAGAATACTCTCTCTTGCTGGGTCACCGTGTCCAATTGCCCTTACAAGCTGCCCAGACTGCTTCAGGGGAGCCCAAACCAAAGACAGAGGCTCATCTCATATCTGGCGAGTACCGGCTTCTATCAGCGGATCAGGAGGCTTGACAACGCCTTTTCGCCTCTCCGAAGACAGTCGTTGAGCCGTGGAGACGGCGCCAGGGTATCCAAGGCCCTCATGCTTGCGATCATGGCGTTTGCCTGCCAGTGGACTCATTCTCATGACAGGGTGCGGCGTTCGCGCGCGACTGACTTGGAAAGCGACGCCCATGAGCCTCAACATGCGCCTGGTGAAAACATGCCAGACACGACCAGCGTGGATCCTTACGACTTTGAGCGCCTCGTCCAGCAGAGTCTCTGGAACGAGGCGGCGGAGGCTGTGCACGCTTGTCTAAACATTGACTCTTTCGAGCTAGTATTTGCTCTAATGATATTCGCCATCATGGAGAGACCACTCAATCCTCGCGGGGCCGATGTCTACGAGCATTCGAGGTTGTTCTCTGATCACAGCAATTCATCTGCGGCTTCGTCTGTACCAGCTACAATTTCGAGGGACCAGGCACTTCCTTCTGCGGATCGAACAAGAGCCATCACAGTTGGTAATGAGCGATATCTTGAGATTGCGCTGCGCCATTTACTCACCTGGAAGAGGAGAATCTCCTCGGCCAGACGACAACAAGCGGCGCGAGCTCAGCTTTCCTCGCAGAACATTTCGAGCTCATCACAGCCAATTCTGCTGGAAGATTACCAAGCGTTTGACATGCTGTTCTGGTTCAGCATCATGTGTGATACGACGTCGGCGGTTCTGAATGAGCAGGGCCCTGTGATCCCCGACGACGACTCGGTCTTCACCCTTGACGACGGGCAACCGGCTTCACAGCCTACAGGAGTCGCCGCACCCTTCGACAGACACAGTCACCCCCCAAGAAGCACCAGTTCGAATGTTAGTGTCTGGGGATCCTGTCTGGCAAATGCTCAACCCGTGTTTGGCGTCCCTGCCGTGCGATGGCCCTGGCCGCAGGACGTTGGTGAGAGTCTGCTCCAAGAAGCAACGCCTGTCAAGGTACTGCTGTGGAGGAGACTCACGGTCCTCCACGCCTACCTGTCCAAGGAGACACCGCCAGCCGCCATCGAGAGATGCATCGCAGAGACGTTGAAAGTGTATGAGTACTGGCAACAACACTACGGCGACTTCATGCTGGACTGCCTCGCGAACCATGCCCAGTTGCCATTCAAGATCCAGTCGTGGTACGTCGTTCTCGGCAGCCACTGGCACCTGGCCGGGCTGCTTCTGGCCCAGTACATCGACCTGGCGGACGGGACGATGAAGTCGGAGAGCGTGCAGCGCTCGCTGCGACAGTCGTCGGCACTGGTTTTGGAGCTGCAGAAAGCCAACGCCTACGCCATCGCCAACCTCGCGAGGGCGGCCAAACCGTCCGATTCCCGCATGTCAAGTCAAGACCAGTCCTTCCACTACGCCACCGCCTACGGCGCGCTTGTCACCGAGCCGTGGCCCGAGGTCCTCAACCGCGCTCTTGCAAAGGCCTGTGAAGTGCTGTTGACGTGGCTGTCGTCCACGAAAGATCCCGCCGCCGCTCTCACCACCTCGCAGCAGGCGTGGATATCCGCCAACACCAGCGTGTCCGAGCTGACCCGGCAGTCGACGAGTTGCATCGACGCCCTCAGCTTCTTGGGGAGTAGCTCTGACCAGGCCCAGTCGACGGCCTCGTCTCTCGAGAGTAGGCTGAAGTCTCTGGGCGTGGGGCCACCGCAGGCTTTTGATGGTGTGCATTGGCAGGACTTTGGTTTGGAAAACCTGGTCTATTGATCTCGATCAGTGCCGCGTCCGAACAAGAAGTGGCGTGGCATGGCTAGCTACTTGCACACGCGTAGACACCAAAGTATCTAGATAGATACGACGGTAGCGAGCATGCCGAGTAGATATAGATGGAGATGTGTGTAGACCTAGGTGTATATAAATAATGAAGTGCTTTATCAAAACATATCATATCTTCTCCCCCTATATAGGTAAGGAAGCTGGACCGAGTTTTTTTTCAGTTTCTCTCTATATTCTTTTCTTACTCTCCTCCTGTCTGCCTTCTTCCTGCCCTTTCTTTCTTTCCGTCTTTCTTCACCCGACTCCATACCCTGGATGGAAGGCCCGTTACGCCATTCTTCATCTCTTTTCGGAGGAGGTTCTCTGTCTCTGTCTCCAGTACGTTTTACAACCCCCCAGCCAACACAGAGACATCAGTAACGCTCCGCAGCGCCAACACGGCATCGCTGGCCTTCTTGGCCCCTTGGGCTCCCAGCACGGGAGTCACCTGGTCGATGAACTTGTCCTGCAACTGCGCGTCTGTCATGGGCACCTCGAGACTACCGATGGCGTGTTGGACGTGTTTGGTGAGAGTCGTGGGCGCGCCGGAGCCTCCAGCACCACCTGCATCGAACTCGACGACAATCACGGCCTCGTCGGCGCCGAGCGCGGCGTCCGCCGCGGCGGCAATCTTGTCCCTGACACTGACGATCTCGTCGCTCGTGACTACCGCGTCCTCGTACTGCGCGGGCCCAGCCTTGCCCAGCACCAGCCCAACCGCGCCGCCGTGGTAGACGGAGAACTTGGCCTGCAGGCCATCCTGCGGGGTTTTCTTGCCCGTCAGCTCCAGCACGAGCGGGTGCACGGTGCAGCTGACGCGGGAGATCTGCGAGGCGGTGAGCCCGCGCTGCTGTATGTCGCGGTGCAGTTGGATGCAGGCGTCGATGATCGGGTGCACGACAATGCCGCAGGGAAATGGCTTGAACGAGTTCTTCTCCGTCTCCCACACGGTGCCGATCGTCGCCATGGCGTCGTCCAGCCGCTGCGTTTCGCTCACCACATTCACCCACCCGCGCTTGGCCTCCAGCGCCTGCGTCGACGACGTGTACCCTTTCGAAGCGAGCACCGCTGCCATGAGCCCGTTCTGCGCCGCCCGCCCAACGTGGAAGGACTTGGTGTCGGAGCCAAACATCTCGCGCAGGCCCGTGACCTGCGTGGCGGCGATGCCGATCGCGTGCGCCATTTGTTCCGTGGTGAGACTGAGTAGTTTGCCCACGGCCACGGCGGCTCCGATGGAGCCGGTTGTTGAGGTGATGTGCCTGTATGTAGCGAGAAGGAGTTGTTAGTTTATGAAGTAGTCCCGGCATCCGCCACCATTTGCACTCTCTTTATGTGTCAAAAAGAGGGGATTAGGGATATGTAGATACATCCCCTTCGCCCCTAATAACTGGTACGACTCTCCCTGAGATGCTGGTGCTGAATGTCACAGAGCCTTCAGGATCACGAGGCACATGGACCGTCAAGGACCGTCAAGAGCAATCCAGAGACGAGAAGGAAAATCAAGAGGGAGGTAGGGAACGAGGTGAAACTGACCAGCCAATATCATAATGCTTGGGCCACACGGCCAACCCGACTTTGCACTCTGCCTCGATGCCCGCGACGAGGGCGACGATGAAGTCGTCGCCGCCGACAGGCTTCCCTAGCGCCTCGGCCTGGGCCAGCAACGCGCTCGCCACGGGACCCGTCGGGTGGATGATGGTCTCGAGGTGCGTGTCGTCGTAGTCGTGGACGTGCGAGGCGATGCCGTTGATCAGGGCCGCGTGCGATGCGTCGGCCTTGCCGTTGCCATTGTCCCCTGGTGATGATGTTGAGGACGATGATGACTGGTGGCCGAGGATGCTCGAGGTGGGTTTGCCAAAGAACGGAGCCAGCGCCTCCAGCGCCGTCGTGGTGGTCCGGTGGTTCGACCCGCCCAGCGCGCAGCCCGTCCAGTTGTAGAAGCTGCGCACGGCGGCCTGGACGACGGGTGCAGGCAGGTCGGTGAGTTGGAGGGACGCGCTCCACGCCGCGAGGCGGAGGGTTGCCATTCTTCTTCTCTTTTTTTTTTCCTACCGTGCCTTCCTTTCTCCCCTGCGTTTTTTTTCTTCGGCCCTGTCTCTGGTTTGCAGCTTCTTCGTCACAAATCACAACCCACCGTGACCGACCCACCGACAGGCAGACAGACCGATTAGCACAACCCAGCCCTCAAGTCCCTATCTAATATGCGAAGAACTGGTCTCGGACGGGTTTCACACAGCACAAAGCCTCCCTTCGTATTGGCTCCTTGAACCCGATCAACGGACAGGCACACAGGGTACAGCGGGACAAAAAATATCCAAAGGGGGGTAAAAGGAGCAGGACAGGGTTTTTCATCCAAAACAATCCAATGTTTCTCATACAAGAGTATAATATATAAAATGTAATAGATGACAGCACTACAACCAACACCTGTCCTTCATTGCCGATCGGCAGACCGGCAAATGAACCATCCAGCATCCCATCGCCTGTTCAAAGTGGCCGGACAGGTACGTACGGCTTTCCCCGCGGGCAATGGCCGTTCGTTCGTGCACTGGTGACCCCGTTCCACTCATTTCAGTGCGACGGTACTACCAGGGAGATGGTGATTGATTATTTCAAGGGAGGAAGGGAGGGGAGAGGAGGGGAGGATGACGGTGCTCGTTCAACCAGGCGGCTGATGCCCCTCACGGACTCAAGAGCCGATATCGCATATTGCATATTGCATTGGGGGAACCACAGAATTTAAAATCCCTCTCTTCTCCAACAGGACAGAGTGGGAACAGAGAGAGAGAGAGAGAGCGTGACTATACCGGGGACGTATACACATGTGTAGGTGTCTACACTCAGCTCGGGCCAACAAGACCGAATGACACGAGTCCTTGATACAACATGCATCACTGCGACAGACGGCGATTGAATTACTTTTATCCACCTGCCACTCCCCCACCATTTTACTATTACCTCCTTCGCAGTATCAGCCGCAGACCGGATAGTAGATACCCATCCCGTATCCTGTGATGAGTATTAGTCCAGTCCGGTCCAGTCCATCCCAACCCCTCCCCGTACATCCATCAACAATATCTCCCCTCTTCAAGTCAATCATACTCTGCCTTGAGATGCGACCCCCAGGTCTTTGAATGCTTGTTCGAGAGTTCTGGTGGCGAGAAACCCGGGCCCGTCGCGTTCGACGCTACGCTGGCTCTCCTTGTCCTGCCGACATTCCACCTCTCCCGTTCCCGCAGCACAAACTCATCCCATTCCATCTTACCCTTTTGGAAGATTCCAGTACCGGGAAACAACGCAACGCCAGCGTGTACTAGCTCGTCTTCTTCTTGACCTGCACCTGGGGTCGCCGTCGTCTCGCGCTTGCGGTACAGTCGCGGACTCACACAGAGCGGTGCATAAATGTTGTCTCGGCAACTGGCCAGAGTCGGATCTGGCGCGTCCTCAACGTCAAAGCCTTCGCTGAATTCCTTCCACCCGCTGCTGCTGTTCGCCGAGGGACTGCTATCAATATAGACCGGGCATCGGTCGCGCCGGGATTCTTGACCGAGCTCCGCCGCCTTGATAAACACCTTCTTCAGCTCGGACCTAAAATCGGCCTTGTTGCTCTCACTCAACAATGGTTCAAGTATCTGGACGACTTGTTGGTCGATCGCAGCTGTGATCTTCTCTTCGACGTCCACTCCATTATCGAGCCGATCCAGGACCCTCAGTGTAGACACCTTCCAGTCATGCTGTATTTCTTCGCCCTCAGTTGCCAGATTCAAGTAGATTTCATCGATGGCGTGTGTGTCCTTTTTAGATTTCCAGAGGTACCGAGAGAAAAACGGTTGCCACACGGTCTCGCGGATGGCGTCGAAAATGAGGTTCTGCACATTGGCAAGTCGCAGGACCCGCGCAGTCTCCGTTGGAGTCACCGGTACCACCGCAAAAGTGCTGCGTTTTCTTTTCAGTTGAGTATATGTGCCAGGGCGATTCTGTATCAAGACCCGTCGTATGAGTACGACATCAAATAAAGTGCAAAGTATCAGTTCACCACAACGATGGTGGTAGAACTTACCTCTATTGCTTTGTCCGGCAAATCAGAGAAATACTCGTCAACAGTCGAGGCCACCGACTCAATGAGATCTCTGTATCGCTCCGCGCTACAGGCGGTGCTTTAGCCCAAGCAACCCAGACCAAGAGGAGGCGTTACTTACTAGTGTTCCACAGGCAACCTCTTGACTTCATACTTGGCCTTGACGCTGGCAAGCGCTTGCTGGATCTTCTCGAGTTCGGCGGTCGCTTTGCTCTGCATAGTTTCGCGAGTTTGCCTTTCCTGGTCGCGCAGCTGCGTCATGTCCTGCAGTTCTTGTTCCCTTTTTGCCAGCTTCTCCGAGAGTGATTTCTTGTCCGCTTCTAATTTGGATATCGTCTCTTGGTTGTCCTTCTCCAGCTGATCTTTCTTCAATTCAAGTGCCTCTTGGGCGTCCTGGGCCAGTTTCTCATGGTCTTTCTTATGCTTCTCGAGCAGGTTCTCGTACATGTCCTTCAGTCGCTGTCCGGAGCCTGCCTTTGTTTCCAATCGCGCAATCTCTTTCTCATACTCTCTTCTCTCATTACGCAACTGCACCTTGTGACTCTGTTTTACCTTATCCAGTTTTGCCCACAGCATCTTATTCTCGTTTTGAAGTTCCGAATTCTCCATCTCAAGTGCTTGCCCATTGTTGTATCTGTCGTCCACTATCTTGATCATTTCTGCATGGCCATTGAATATTTCCGCGAGTTTGGCAAGCGCGCTGTCACCGAGAGATCTACTTTCTTGGAGATGGTGTACCTGGTCATGAATCTGAGCGCCGAGCGGACCAAAATCCCACTTGTCAAGGTGCACACTGTCCAAGTCATGGCTATCGACTCCGTTCGGTAGCCCATCAGACACCTTCTCCGCCTTCCCGTTGGTCATGGGATGGTTGCCAGGCTCGGACATGGAAGCTGGGCGGACCTTGGATTTCAGAGCAGCTTTGAGTATGTCGCGCGAGCATACGAGAGCGACCAATTAACTCACCGGAAGTTTATCTCTTTTCCTTTTGATCGAACGCACAGGGCGAAGAATCTTGTTCACATAAGACTCAGTGCTCGAGATCTCGCGCTCCAGTTCAACGGAAAATCTGTAGTTGGGGGACATAGAGCATGGCTCGAGTCATTGTAAGTGGACAAACTGTTTCGAAGATAGAGAAGGCTGATGCAGAGGGATTGAGGTATATGGCCCAGTCTCCTGGGTTGCGGATGCACACTGACTCTCTCGCTCACCTTCACATGGAAGAGGCATTTGATTTCCTCCACGTGTCTCCCAGTGAGTGAAGGAACAACGCCCAAGTGTCAACCAATGCCATCGAGGGTTGCCGTCCTCGCATGATGATGTACAGGGTTCATTCGTGATACGGGACCTTCATTTTTACAATTGGACACCTCGGCCTAAATTGTGAGGCGTAGTCGAGAACATATGGTCCGTGCGAGTGCCGCGAGGTTGGGCCACGGGCCTATCAGCTGCCGACGCAAGCCTGGCAGGCCAATTTTTCATCTGCTGAGCTTTTGGTCCCCCACGTTTGGAGGCCAGAAGTTTGCTGCACGGATGAGTTGTCATCGCCCTGTAGCCAGTGCGAGAATGTCTCGAGCCCAAGATGGTGTTTGAGCATTAGCTGGAAGATGAAGGGTTGAATGGGATTGGTGATACAAGACAAGGCGTTTTAGCTAGAAGCTGTCGAGTCTCCAAGCAGCCGGCCAACTGGAGGCGCACGGGATGTTCATCCGCGGCACGAACCGCCAGCGACCACGGATGAGGTGTAGAGGGCTATAGGAGCCGACCGTGGAGGGAGTTGATCGCCTTCCAAGTTTGTCTCACAGGTAACCATGACACGAGATGGGGGAGGGTATCGGTCACTCAACTGAGCTACACCAAGGTTATATGACGCACAGACTCGGTACTGGGTGATGATTCCTGTGGGCGGACTCGATCAAACAATAGTATCATATGAACTGTAACAACCCTCAAGAATGACGGCTTGGAGGCCTGCGTGGCTTCTTCATCCCTAAAATCAGAGGGACACGCGCGCGCACTCACGAGACCTGGCGATAAGGAACCTTATCACCACGTGATGGAGCCTTGGCATCGTGACACGCTGTCGAACTTCAACGCGTAGGAGAAAGGGGCCGAGATGGCAGAGTCTGTAAAGGGGAGAGAGAGAGAAGGCTCACATCATCTTTCTTTATCCTTCTACATTCATATCTGTCAACATCTCCCTCTCACACACATTCTCTCTCCATCTCTTTGAATTCCCATCTACGCTTTCGCCCCAACACACTAACACCACCGACAGACAGACGAGAGGGCATTGACAAAAGGCCACATCTTACTTATTTACCAAACATTGGCAATCCCTACGACGACGACGTACCGTTAAGAATACCGACCCGGGCCTCTTCGACATCTGAAAGACTTCTCTTTATCTAGAAGTTCTTTACCATTTTAGATCTTCAATAAAATTACACCACCGCTTCCTTCCTCGTCTATCAAAAATGGTCAGTCCCCCCAAGTTCTCTTGCACTATTTATTCACCACTCACGAACAACCACACAGGCTCAAACTCCCGCCCAACGCCGCGCCAACGAGAAGCACGCCAAGGGCGTTGAGAAGCGCATGGGCAAGCCCGAGACGGCGTACAAGAAGAAAGAAGCTAAGCGGTCGCCTGTCGGTGTCGCTGCTGTTGGTTCGTCAGCCCATCTTTTCTTTATGGTTGTATGGGCCCGTCAGGACAAGTTCAAGCCACTCACTAACCTTTCTCTCTCTCTCTCTGTGTGTATATACAGTACTCCTGATCTTCGTGGTCATTGCGCCCCTGCTCATCGAACAATTAAAGCTGATCCCCTACCTCTGGGGCCTGCTGCTCGATTTGCTGGCCAAGATCGGACTCGTGTCGAAATAAGTCCTTTTTGGTTCTTTGCTCTCTTTAACCTCCCCGTTCCTTTTGGGGAGGCTTTGTTTCTGGTTGATTGGTTGGTGGATGGATGGAGGACGGACTGATCAATGTACAACGGCTGGATTTTCCACAACCCATGCATGATCTGACAGATTCCTCTCATCATCTCCCTCTCGCTACTCATAAAGGGGAAATGTGGCAGAGGGAGCGAATGGCTTTTGGAGGAGCTCACACCGTGAGAAGCTTTTGGTGGTTGCTCCCTCTCACCTCGTTTCCCCGACTGGTCAGATGAGCTGTTCTTGGGACGGAGGATGGGTACAAACTGGAGGGGAGCAAAAGTTCCGCATTACATTACTAGCTGTGTTTTGCTAGAAAGTTGCCTTGTACTGTATACACACGCTGACCAACTAACTCGATGTGAAACCGCTCTCATAATAATAAGTAGTTTTGCTCACAGATTCCCTTCCACCTTCCCAACCACCCGGTGATAAACAAAACCTCTTACTAGTCACTAGGCCAGAATATCTAGTACGGAATTCCATTAGTGATCAGTTGGAACTCGTCGTACACTTTGGTTGTCACGTTCGCCGCGCTCTTCTTGATGCATCCCAACATGAAATCGGCAGCCTCTCGCTCGGTCTTTTCCAGCACGAATCTCTGCTTGAAGTTCCTCATCGTCTCCGGCTTGAAGCACGGTAACCCGCTGTCTAGCATCAAACTCACCAAGTGACTGAGCTTGTCGCAGTAGGGGCGGCTGGCCAGGAAGGCCTTGATCGTCAGCTCCTCGAACCAGCGATATGGTTGACTGGTATGAGGGTCGTCGCCGCCCATGACGGCGATCATTTCAGGCGTCAATTTGAAAGGGGCCCGTTCGAATTTGACTCCGCCCGGCGCGATGTCGAAACAGAATCCAAAGTCAATGTGGAGAATGTGGCCTTTGTCGTCAATCATGATGTTTCCATTGTGGCGGTCCTTGAACTGTAAGAGGTACGTGATGACAGAATATGCCGCCATGCTCTTCACGAATTCACTGCGGGCTTCCTGGTACCGTACGGAATGTTCGCCGCCGTATTTGGTGATGAAGTAGTCATGCAGCCCATTGACTGCTTCCCGGCCCAACATGTCGCGACTGATAGAGTTCGGAAGTACGTCAATGACGCCACAGCCAGGCGCTGTCGCGGTGACACGATATGGAAAGACGTAGACATCCAGGCCGATCGAGTTGAAGATGCCACGGAAAGCTGCAATCATCTGCAGCGCGAGGACGTCTTGCCGACAGTCGTCGCCGACTTTGAAGATGGCACTCTGCCAAACCTCATAAGTTGACAAATTTCCATCGTTCAACTCAACGTTGGAGATGTCACTTGTATTTCTGCGGCTGTGGCTGATCTTGGGATGGGCGATTTGAACCTTGGGTGCCGACTCTATCAGGTCGCTCGTCTCCTCATTGGAAGCCCCCTTCTGTTTGCGAATGCGGAAAGTTGCCATATACGGGGCCTTTGCATGAGACTGCAACGGCTTGCCGGATTTCCGATCAATGCCCACCACTACACCGTCAGGGTTGCTCGGAAGATAGACCCCGACATCGACTTTGATTCTCCGAAGCTCTTCTTCGATCTTGGCCTTCTTTTCTGGCTTAGGCCTCTTGATGAACGGCTTGAGTTTGCCCGAGATATCGGTCACCTCACTGAAGAAGGAAAACTCTCGCTCGTAAAAGTCCTTGTCTTCGCCGGAGAAACTCGAGATCAGACTGTTCATGACTTTATCCAGTGTAGGCTTGACAGGGTCCGGCACTTGCGAGTCCTCATCCTTGTATGCGTTGGCCTTCATGTTCCAAATGATCTGGTGAGCAAACAACTGGGAAAATTTGCCCGTCTCGATGATGTACCGCTCAACGTATCCCAGCGTATCATACCGTAGGCTCTGTACAATCTGTGGGACATAGAAGAATGTAACATCAACAGAGTGGCTCTCCACAGCTCTCATCGCGTACTGGATGATGAATGGGTGATTACCAAAAGCAGGCATGAAGTACGTCACGGCCTGAACTGGATTGACCGGACGCCAGTATAATAGATACTTCAATTGGAACGACAAGTCTGATGCCAGTCTGTCGCCAAGCAGCAAATCGACTGCATTAGCTTCGTGCAAGGCTTTTTCGGGTTGATTGAGGAGCAGGAATCGGACATCGCGGCGAAGCTGGTCATGGTTGAATCGTGCGAGAAGCTGTACCGCGAGAGCTGGGTCCTCGGCCCATGCGGTCCGAACAAGGCCTGCAACTTGAGACTCAGGCTGGGCTTGGTGGCCCGAATGCCCAAGGGGTGACAACCAAACGTTCAGCCGGTTGATTTCGTTCGTTAGAAGAGCCTCTAAAAGCTCGTGCTTCTGCTGGGGGTCTTTTCTGGTCGCCGAAGCTGGAAATATGGGTGTCCGGGTACCTTGCAACAATGCCAAAACATCCTGCATCACTTGAACCTCAGCCTTTAACTGCAACCGATTGCCACCGAAGGACCAGTATGGTGGCTTTGCAAACCACTGCAGTCCGACAGACAGAATAAGATCTTTCAGTTTCCACATAGACAACTTGTTGAGACATGTGCTATTTTTGACCACTCGAAGAGCGAAAAGGACCACGTGGAATTGGATGTCGCGCAGAAGGGGATGTCCCTTGATGCGGATAAAGCCATGAAGAGTTCGCTCTAGCAGTCGGAGAAATGTACGTTGAGTATTGGCGCTTCCAAGTCTGATGGCATTGAAATGACTTTCGAAAAATTGCATTAACCTGAAATGGGGCGCGATGGTGTTGTGCGCTGCTTGTGCTTCTTTGTGCAGCGCAGCTCTGTCAGATGGAGCGAACTCTTCCTTGACATAAAATGGATCTGGTTGCTCGAAATTGGGGCTGAAAATACCCACTTTGCGATCAATCGTCCTTTCCCAGGCCTGCGCAACCTCTGTCAAGATTCGGGGCTCCATCCTGGTGTTCTCGTGGATGACCCCAAGCCACAAGGAGATACCAAGTTTAATGGACTCCTTTGTGAAAATGGCGAATGGAATATTGACTAGGTAGTGCACAATAGCTGTCTGCGATTTCTTGCTCTGGCAGAGGAGAGCCGCCGCGCGTCGCAGAACATCCTGGACTTCGAACGCTTTAACATGGACCTTCAGACTCGTTTTCCTGTGAAGGTCGAGGAGTGCATCTTGCAAAACAGGCATTGGATCAGCAGACGGCCTCTGCAGGGAAGATCTTCGTCCGGTCGTGTCATCCATGTAGATCTCGTCGCGGTGGTGGTCCGGGATTCCTGTAAATCGATATTCTTGCCGAGCAGTGTATTGGGCCACAAAATCGGACGCCATGTTGATGTCCATTGAGTCATTTCTTCGGTCGATGGCGTTCAGTCTACGATCCGTCGGGGGGATCATGGAGCCCATTTCCAGAGCAAACGATCTGCCCAGGGAAATATGTCCGTATGCCCCAGTGTCATCGAATTCGGAGAGGTATGTTTGGAGTAGGCCCTTGACGTCCAAAGGTGCGACCCCCATTACCATGGTCACCCATTTCCTGGCATCACTATGCAGCGTCTGCAGAGTGCGCTTGCGGAATGCGTAGTCGTCGGATAACTCAACCGTGATCTTGCCTCGAGTCGAGGTGAGAATGGGCCGCCACTCGTACTCGTCAGTGTCTGCATCAAGACAGCTGGACCACATTAAAGAGAGGAGCTCCAGTAAAGCAAACAAGGCGGACTTTTGACACAAGGCCGAAGGGACAAAGCTGATGATATGGTTGGCTGCTGCCCTTGCGACCTCTTGCATCTTACTGCTCCGGTGACAACAGCCACTCAGGATCCGAGCGAGTTGTCGCGACACATACGGGGCGCTGAAATCATCGTCCTTGCCAGCCACAGCTTTCTGGGTATACCTCTTGACAACCTCGTTCGCAATCGAGCCCAGACATGATCCCATATGGCTGGTCTGCGTCGTCGGATCCGAGAAATAGTCCAGGATCTCAGCACAGCTTCCAGATACCGCTCGGAGGCTTTCAACAAGAAACACAGCATTCAAAAACACGACCTTCTGGTAACTCAACTTTCCGATGTCAGATTCTCGATCGGGGATAGCGAAAAGAAGAGCTTTCTTTTGGTCGTTCATGTGATGAGAGTTCATTCCTCTCCGCAGGACGGTGTTGATCTCCACATCTGATTCTAAAAGCTCGGCACGGTCATCGTCCACGAGAGGCATCGAGTTCATGGCCAACACCCGCAACTCATGGTAATGCTGCTGGCCGATGCGAGACTGGAGAGTGATTCCGTGCACAGCCATGTTGTACCAGACCTCTCTAACCATGCTTAGCACATCGCCATCTTCGGCAAGTGTGCTCTCGATGGTTAGCGCAGGCTTTCGAGAAGCAAGAATAGACAGCGGCTTGAGGAGAGGTGCTATCTCTTTTGCAGCCTGTTCGACTTCCGCAGACTGCTTGAATTCGCCTTCGACAACATCCCCCTTGCTGAGAACCCGTTCCAGCAGCTGCATGGCATAGATCTTGAACAGTGGCGATCGGTTATCGAGGTTGATTGCCAAGTATTCTTGCGCGTTGCGGATAGCTTGCATGATGATGGAGTTTTCCTGAGCTACGGCCTCGTGATGCATTCGACTGTATAGTCTGATCAAAGCCTTGAACTCGTTCTCCTTGCCAAAAATGGCGAGCTTTGCCGCTTCTTCAATAATGCGAGCATCCACCACGACGCTGATTCTCCCCACCTTTTGTAACATCATCATCTGTGCCAGAGCGATTATTTTGTTGTCGTTGCATTCGGTGGCTATGACAACAATTGCATCTGCGACGTTGCCACAGACCAGCGATGTTTCTTCGTCACCACTCAGAGAGAGCGAGATGACGCTCCCAGTTCGGAGTCTTGTCGTAGATGACATGGACCCATTGTGACCCGGGTGTTCTAACAACCCGTGAGCCTGGTGCACCTTTTCGGCCCCTGTTTGCGAACTGAGAACATTTCCCAGTGAATATATCGTGGTGATAATAGCATCGTGTGACAGCATCCTCAAGATATGCGACAAGCTTTGCGCAGCGATGGCAACTGCTGGTGGTCGGGAGGTGCCTCGGACAATGAATCTTAACAGGGCCCGAGCGTAATTGTTTGCACCCTCGGGGATGTGTTTGGCCACGACGGCCATGGTTTTCAAGACTATGTCCGCAAGGTCGAGATCTGCCATTTGAACTTGGTTGGCAATCGAGTCTTCAAGCCATGCGGCCAGGTCCTCGGCATCTGCGATTTCCTCGTCCAGAACCAAGCAATGCAGATATGCCTCTACAGCGTATGCCTTGACAGAAAACGCAAGACGCTGTTGCCAGACTGAGCTGAGCTGTAAATAATCCGAGCCATCCTCGAGCACACGCATTTGCTCACTGACAATGTCCACCAGATAGGCGACCATGTCATCCGTAATAGTGTCATCTTTGGCCCGGTTTAGGTGGTTGCCCGCGATGTATTGATCGAGTATGTCTCCGCACTCTACCGTGTGTTCATCGCATAACATTCTGGCCGTACACGCAAGTACCAGTTTCATGAAGCCCTTTTGTAACACCATGGCTCCGACTGGAAGTCCCTGTGCTGCGAATCGTTTCAAGTATTTTCTCCAATCACGATCTGCAGGATCAGTAGACGTGGAATTCCGTATAGCTGACGAGGCAGTCTCGACGGCTATCAGGAAACGCTCTGACAAAGCTTCTTTCAAGCAGCGAATAAGTTCGACTGTCTCATAAGGGGACCAGAAGTTGCCATGAGCAGCCGCCGCATCCAGAAACCCGATCAACGACACCGTTATCGCCGCAATTTCCTGGGTTTCGTCGTCGTCGTCTGAATCTTGCTCGCCAACCCCAACAGCTGCCAGTGCCGAAGCAGACTGGGACCAATTCTGTGTATACAACTTGATGCTGTACGCGACCGCGTTTTTCAAAGGGGGGAATCTGAGTCCGAGGACGAGTAGCGCCTTTGTAAGTTGGAACGTGAGGGCAGTCCACGGCGTGGGTCTGATTTCCTGGACAAAGGGCGAGGATGAGAAGACTTGGGAATGTGACTCGGGCAGGTAAGCTGTCAACTGCTTGACCAGGCGATCGGCATGAGACAGCTCGTGCAAGTCGTGAGCACTTGCGCACAAGGCGAGCAAGACATCGAGTTCGCGGGGCGACATAGGCACCCGTGAAATGGGTGCAATTGCCCGAAGGACGCCATCGAGAACACCACCGTTCGTCTGGGGCCTGATGGACGGCGCTGCCGATGTTAGACGCTTGAATTCCGCCTCACGGGTCGAGGATCGGACTGAGGAGAGGGCCGCAAGCTTGGAGAAGGCCTGGCGACGCAGGCCTCCATGACCGCTGAAAGCACGTTAGCACAGACACATAACATTGAGAAAAAGAGAAATGGGAGGTATACAGGTCCATCTGGCCCGAGATTTGAGGCGCTTGTCGCGCAGACGTGGAGGAGGAGGACAAATCCACCTTGGTCTCCTTGGAGACTGCGGCATTGGGGGCAAGTCTAAAAGTTCAGAAGAGGAAATATGATGATGCGGGATTCCAGTATCACAAAGAGGAAAGTAGCCCGACAATGGACACCAAACGCATTCACAAAGAACCATCACTTCAGTATCCCTACCATTCCATGCGAATCGGGTTTATCTTCGACTTGTAATAGTTTGCCAAAGGTTTTATTAGCCGTTTGCACCTCCAATTTGGGTACCCGGCGCTCCAGAGTTCTATGAAACGCGAAACATGGTGTCGTTCGCTCAACAGCAACACAATGGTATCTCTCACATTCGAACACGGTTTTTGGGGATATTCAACTGAAATGTTGACACAGAGCACCTCAACGCCTCATAGCACCTAATCCTGACGCCCAAAACCCCCTGCTTTTACAATTCGGCTCTGCCCTTACGAGGAAACAGCCCCGCGAGCGTCTCCCTCATTGCTTTCTGAATATCCTGGAGCTCCTGCTCATCGGTCGTGATAACATCGTCATTAAGGCACATCTGACCCGGAAGCTGCTTGCCTCCTTTGACATAATGCCGGTATAAGGTGCTGTCGATCTGGTCGGCGTCGGTCACCATGACAAAGAGCGTGTCCGATGGATCAACCTCGGTGAACTTGTAGCGCATGGCGCCTTTGATCACTATCTCGCGGTCGGCGGCTTGAGTCTCGGCGTTCGGCAACAGTGGCTCCAAACCCGACGGTGTCTGCTGAAGAAGTCCCTTTAACAGACAGTCACCGCAATGCGGGTTTTGGCGAGCCAGCCGGTCAAAGATGACGGACGAGCTGAATGTCGGGTTCGTGCTGGACGGGGGCGAATTGTCGGAGAGAAAGCCCGGTGCTAGGCAGTCGTCTATCGAGAAATCCGTGCAGTCGACATTCCGAATGGCATGAGGTCCGTCGAGAGACGTCCACAAGGAATTGGTGTTGACTTGGGGCGCGCGGAGGCCAGCCTCTTCAAGCATGGATGGGACATGGTAGAAGAGCTTGCGGCGGAACGTTGCCTTGTCGGCATTCTTTGCCCCTTCAGCCAAATCGGCAACGATCCTCGTGCGTTCCTCCCAGGACAAGATACCATCTCGGTCGACGTCACTCCGCAGCATGATGTAGCTCCACAAGAGGAGTTCACGGTGACGTTCGATTACATAGTGGTTGCTCACATACCAGGAGTAAAGCTGAAATCCGGGCTCGCCTCGAAACCGCTTACAGGCACTCTGGATCTCGGAGCGTGGAAATGCCTCGATCGCCTCTCGCATAATGCTTCGTGACAGGGAATGTCCAAAGTGACTCTGGCCCTTGCGTTTTCGGACGCCGAACCGACGATTCAAAAGCCACGAGGTATAGATCAAATATGGCTGGAAAATTCAACGTCAGGTTACCCTTTGGAGGTAAGGAGCCACAAGTCGGAAACACACCTTTTCACCGAACCGTTGTGCGTCGGCTTCGGTCGGGGCAGAGGTAGTGCTGTACCCATTGGTCTTGAAGCTCAACACCGCTCCAAACAGTGGCGAGTAAATGTCGGCGGGGGCGTGCTCACGTGTAAGCAACATGTCGTCGGACATGGCATAGAACTGAGGGCATAGTGTCAGTGTCGGTAAGTTATAAGCCGGGCTCTACTTCTCACGCACCTGGTCGACGTCCGACTCTGTGTTGAATATTTGATTTTCGATTGTCAGGGAGTTGAACGCCGGTAAGCAGACTTTCTTGTCGTCCTCGAACATCTCCTCTTGAGAAATAACCTGAACCAGCTTGGAGACCTTGGGGTCATCGACAGCAAGCCACGTGGGCGTCTGTTTCCTGACAGGAGCCCCATTCCTGTAAATCGAGTTGACAAGGACTTTGATGGTGTTCATGAAATGGCCAGCATTCTTCTCGATGCTGCGAAAAGAATAGCGCAGTTCGTCCCAGTCGCGGTATCTGTTCATGCCGTGGGACTTGATCCATTCTCCTTCGGCATCATTCAGAATCGACCGCTCCTCCCACGGCCTGATGGTATCCTGAAAATCCTGCTCGGAACCATTGACCCCTAGGATATTTCGTTAGCAACACGTGAACCATTTTTCTTCGGAGGAGTCGCCATGCGATGCAATCATACACAGATAGACAAAATCGATCTTGGGTTCTTCCAGATCTCCCCATTTCTCCCAGTCGTACGTCCCTGAACTCACCCATTCGTCTTCCCAACCCTGGAGGACCTCGTCCTTGACCGTCTCCTCGAACGGGACCCAGATGAACTCTGGAAGGAATTCGGCCTTCTTCTCCAGTGACAAGTGCTGTTTCGACTCGTTCGATTCGTCCTCGACTCGAGCGTCGTCGGACGCAGGGGTCGGTTTCTTGTCGATTTCCACGTTGGCAAGTGGCGGTTCCGGGTCAGCAATTGCAAATGGACCCTTGACGTCTTCAGCCTGTTCCTCGCCCTTGGGTGGTTGAGAGGGTTTGTCGTCCTCTTCGTCGGCAGCAGTTTCAAATGGATCCTTGCCTTTTTCAGCCGGTTTCTCGCCCTTGGGTGATTGAGGGGGTTTGTCGTCCTCTTCGTCGGCAGCAGTTTCAAACGGATCCTCGACTTTTTCAGCCGGTTTCTCGCTTTTGGGAGGTCGAGAGACTTTCTCGTCCTCTTCGTCGGCAGCAATCGCAAATGAACCCTTGATTGCCTCAACCATTTCCTCACTCTTGGGGGGTTTGGAGGCTTCGTTGTCCTCTTCATTGAGGGTCTGGTTCAGGTTGGAGGCGAGTGAGCTGTTGACATCGAAGGTGTTGTTGTCAGGAATGGCCGAGGGCTCCGCTTGCTTGGGCGGATTCGATCCACCTAACCAGCTCTGGAGTTTGACCTTGTATCGATTGCTGTGGCGGTAGTCTGTGGTATCCCGGGACATGGCCAGATAAACCGTGGTCCCAATGAGGACAACGAACAAGAACAAGATGCTGGATCGAGGTCCCTTCCTTCGCCATAACGGTCTTTTGATTTTGACCCAAAGCGGCGTCCTGTGGTCGGTGATTTGAGAGTAGTACATGGTGTTGGTGTACATTGTGTTATTGACCTTTGCCAACAACTCCAGGTTATGCCGACTGGATAAAGCCTCAATCCCACGACGTCAATCATAACCCAACCCTCTGGGGGTTTCAATCAACTTCAAAACAAACGCAGCAGAAACAGACCACCCTACTTCTTCCAACGTGATAGAGGCATTCAGCCACGGGTTGCCAGGAGACTGGAAGCCGGCGCACAAGTCTCGATAGATATTGGTTGTCGTTGTATGCTATTGTGTTCTTCACTGGATGGAGGATGGGGGTCCTGGATATGCGGAGTTCGATGAGCACACGACACAGCTCGTGGAGAGAGATCACCCAGTATACATAAGAATGCCGAGCAACCAGAAGAAACATCCCGGCAAGAAGTAGCTCCCGAGGAAACCAAGTTAAGCGAGCATGAAACCCAATGGCACGGCTTTGCTTGGGAGGGGTGGGGGAGGCGGGAGGCAGAGAGAAGGGGAATAAGGGGTGAGGAAAGGTAAAGTTGGTACATATCGCATGAGACTGTATGCCTGAATGATTGATGGCGTTTCTTCTTATCGTCATTTCCTGCACTTTTTGCTCCTGGGAAGAGGAGGAAGAAGCCGAAGTCTTCTGGATCGAGTTTAACGTGGCACAGATCGAGGCAAACGGGAACCAAAAAGGACCCAAGGCAGCCTTGCCTCCCCCCCCCCCCCCCCCCCGGGTTGGATTGATTGTAGCGCCACCCGGGCCACTCTTGGGTGCAGGATCGACAAGACTTGATTGAGGAGAACTTCGCTTCCGAGGGTTTGATCGACGCGCTTATGCAGGGACGAGCGAAGTCTCTCGTGCTTTGGCTTCCGAAGTTTCCACATTTTCTTTTTCTCCGGCTTTTCTCCACTTTTGTTTGTGTCTCGGATTTCCCCTTTGGGAAATAGATGCAAGCAGAGATCATGACGATGTTCGTCCCATGAACGCGTCAAATCACGCGATTTCTCCAGCAAGAGGGGGATCGTTGTTCGCGTGAGAAAGATAACAACATGCCCCAGTCTCATGTCCCCCCTTTGCCATTGGCTCTTGGCCAGTATATATGCTTTTTTGGGGCGAGTGTTGGTTCTTTTGTAAGGTTGGCTCTTGTCTTTCAGCCTTTCAGGACTCACGCCTCGATTCATCCCCAAGTCTCTGCTAGTCACTGGTGCTAAATCTATCTAAGCCATTCCTTGCTGGAGCGGTGTTTGATTGCAGTACGACGACAAGCAAAAGTATCCAGGTCGACGGGCACTACTCTCCTTTGCTTAGTGCTTGTTGTGAATTCACCGCCCCCTTATGCATCATGTACCGACCGAGGACAAGATCAAATGAACACGCGCGGCCGAATGTTGTCCTGGCCGAGACTAAGACTGGCACAACCTCATATATCTGGGCTCTGGCCGTTCGCCACTTTATTCGAAAGAGTGTTTTGTTGGATTTTGGCGGGCTGTTTCTTGGAGAATGAGTACGAGATAACTAGCTAATTGTCCTTGAAATCTACACACACACACCCACAACACACACACAGATACACGAACACACAATGACCGAACTCGTCTCGTTAAGCGTGCAGCGCCACTCCCGGGAGTCCTTCGACACGGGTAAGTATATGGCTGATGCCAGATCAACATGTCGCTCAAGGACCTGAAGCTGATGGGCCATCTTCCCACCCCAACAGAGTCGGAGATGGATCAACACGACGTGGAAAAGCGACTCGTGTCCGAAGGATCACACAACAAGGCCATGATTCCTCGATGGATCCTCACGGGCAATGATGCAAAGCGACGTTTCAACATCGGCCTGAGCGAGAAGGACGCCATCAATGTCCTTTGCGTCCTACTCAACACGGTGTCGGCTGTGGCCATCGTCTTTGCGAACAAGATGTAAGGTTTGTGGCAGGCATATCAAGAGCCTTAAATTCGTTGCTGTTGTCATCCCGGCGGGGTGGGAAAAGGGATTTTTGCTGACCCCTGGTCTCTTCCATACCCATCAGTGTCTTTAGCGATCCTCAATTTCGAAAATTCCAGATTGGCACCGCGGCCTGGCACTTCACGGCGACCAGTGTGTTGTTGTATGTGGCGACCTTGAAACCCTTCAGCTTCTTCAAGCCCGTGCGGCTCGCCGTGCGAGATGTGCTGCCGCTGTCGACCCTGTTCGTCGGGTTCCTGGTCCTGGGTAACCTGTCTCTGGCCCTCAACACCGTCTCCTTTTACCAGCTGGCCAAGATCATGACCACGCCGACCGTGGTGGCGATCAACTTTGTGCTGTTCGGAACCCGCCTCCCGACTCCCCTTCTGGTGGCCATCATGGTTTCGTGCCTGGGCGTGGCCTTGACCAACGTCGCGATGGTGTCGTCCAACCCGACGGGCAGTCTGGTGGCCATTGCGGCCTTTGTCACCACGGCCTTCTACCAGATCTGGATCGGCAAGAAGGTCCACGAGCTCGACATCAGCGCCCCCGCGCTGCTGCTGAACCAGGCGCCCATCTCGGTGGTGATGCTGCTGGTGCTGCTCCCCTTCACCGACACGATCCCGGACTTTTGGACCGTCGACCCCAAGATCCTGGCCACGTTCCTCTTTTCGGGCATCCTCGCCGCGGGGCTCAACCTGAGCCAGTTCCTGATCATCGGACGCCTCTCGGCCCTCGCCTTCAACGTCGTCTCCAACGCCAAGAACGTCATCATCATTGCCCTGGGTTGGTACGTGGCCGGGCAGGCCCCGTCGATCAAGGACGTTCTGGGCGTCATGCTCGCTCTAGGCGGAGCGGGCGCGTATTCGTGGTTACAGCGTCGGTGATGTCTCTTTTTTTTTCCCCTTGTGATTTGTCAGTTCTTTCAGAATAATTCCGTGTCTACGACTTGGCGAGAGATGCATGTATATATCTGTGTTGCTTTGGAATGTATTGGCGTTTTATGGACATCAGTGACACGTGGGGATGGGATGACATTAAAGGCTTCAAAGCATGAAACGCTAATGACACGTAAAGATAATTCGGCATAATCCACAGGCGTTGTGCAGCATTTGGCTTGGATTTATTCGTGTCCTCCTTTGCTCCTTCTGGGGAATCCCTGCGAAGGTCTTGAGAACTGTGGCTCCAGCACTGGAAACCCTCGTGTGAGAAGAGACACATGCACGAGCATGTTTCATGTTAGTGTATTACATTATGTAGTCTTTGTTGAAAGCCCCGAGAGGCAGATAGTTCAACAAAGATAGACAAATACACAAAGTGATTGTTAGCACCACATGGGCTTTAGACGTCGAACCTTTGAGCTTCGCCGCGGGGACGCATTAGAAATTGTATTGAGAGGCTGTATCAATGCCGAGTAAGTACTCATAAGTGATCGTGAACCATTTGCCCCAAAGAAAGGGGGAGGGGGGCCAAAAGTCCCAAACGCCGCAGAGCCAGTGTCATAATCGCCATAGCAGATCAGTCTATCCTTTTCTACCATCATTTGCTCCGAATAATTTGCGCACGACTGGCGAGAGATTTCCCGTCGTGTTACGCTGAAAGGTAAAAGAAGGAATTGAAGCACCATTCCAACAGCCAGGGTGAGTGTGTGTGTATGGACTGATCTCAACCACCACCACCACCACCACCCTTTCTCCCGCTTTTCTCAATTCCACGTGAGGTTTTCCACCTCGAAATTCCCATTTTGCTGGCTCTTTTGTTTCCTGTAATTATCCCAAAACTTTGATATCTCAGCCAGCAGCTCGGGCATCTGGTCGACCTCCTTGACCCATTCGGACGGGTTTTGCTCGTACGCTTCTACGAAAGATTTGATCCTGTCCACCTTTGTGCTCCCCGACCCCGCGAAATGGAGCAACAGATCTGTAAATTTTGTGTGTCAGCAGTGGGGATGCCAGGAGTGAGGGAGTCACGCCAAAAAAAAAAAAATAATAATATTGGTAACAAAACAAGGGGGGTTCCGCTTACCACCAGGCTTCACGCCGTTGAGGTGCTGCTTCCTTCGTGCGATCGGCCGTCCGCGGTCGTTTCGGGCACCCATGTACGCATTCAGCCATCGTTGAGGGATCTCGGCGTAGCCGTCGAGATATGTCGTGCCGTCCCAAGGGCGATAGACTCCGCCCTCGTGCACAACATGCTCAATGGCCGATTGCTCCGAGTAGCGCAGGTCCACATTCGGCCGGAAGGTCTCGACGCTGAGCGACGACGCCAGCAAGTGGACCGAGTAGTCGTTGACTCTGAGGAGGAAGGCGCCGTCGTTGAGCCCATTGTGGTCGTTGCCGCAGAGGAAGTTGACCCCGCGCACATCCGCCGGCGGCAGATAGATTTCCAAGGGGATTTTGGGATTGAGGAGAAACGTGTCGGCGTCGAACCAGAATATCCATTCGATCCTGGCCTCAGGGGGTTTCGCCAGCTCGTTCAGCACCACGCTCAAGATGAAGGCGGGCTTGGTCCAGAGACGACCCAACATCTTCTGACGCAGGACGTGCAATTGATAACCGTGCATGTTGGCATGGAGGGCGTGGGATTCTAGAGCCCTTTCGTATGCGTCGTTCGGCTCGCCGTACAGCATGGTGACTTTGGCAATTTTGACTTCGGAGTGCGGCTTGTTGTAAGTGTTGGAGTTGCTGTCATCATTGTCGTCTTCGACTTCGACCTGGACCTCAGTCTCCTCCTCGTCGTCCTCGTCATCGTCCTTGTCCTCTGCCACGAATGTGGGAGTATTGAGCCCATTTTGTTGAGTGACCAACCCCGCAGCCTCGTCTTGTTTGGCGGTTAATTCCTCAAGCCCTCTGAGGTCTTGACCTGCTGAGGCTTGTTCGGTGATCCGTCTGGGATATGGCTGAAGTTGAAAGGAGGACAGGTCTCTCCATTGGGTCTGAGGCGCGGTCGGGCCCAGATGTGATAGAAGCAGCTGCAACACAGCGATTACCACCAGAACCACCAAGACAGAACGGATCCTCTTCGCCATGAAGGCCTACAAACAAGAAAAAACAACAACACCCGTTTGAAGACAGCAAAATAGTGCTTCCAACGCTTC